CCCCCTGCAACTATATTATGGAACCTAGAGGAATCCGATGAAATAGAAATTTAAAATCTCTCTTCACAAGATGTTGATCACCAGCCCATGACATTCTGATATAAAGTTCCAAATGATTCTATCTTTCTAGGTGTGTTTAAGGATACCCTTTCAGTCAGTACTGTTTCCTGAGTGTTCAGTGGGTGACAACAATCATAAAACAAAGAAGAGCTGTTGTGGGACAACAGGTGTTAAGAAGAGACATTAACAATCAGTAGTACTCTGAAGAGAGGTTAGGAAATAGTGACTGAAAAACTGTCCCGATTATTGAGGGTGTTGGGGGGGCACATTCAATACCTTTGGGAGGGGGACAAAAGAAATGGAGCTAAAAACTGTCTGAACGGGGGAAATCACAGATGAGTGAATGAAGTAGGAGAAAGTTTGCTGATTCTCTCCCTTTCCTTCTTCTAGGCTAAAACCAACAGCTATTATATCATGCCCCAATCAGGTTCCTCTGAAATGCTGGTCATGGTTACCATCAGAGGCACAAAGCCAGTGTAACAAAAGTGGGGAGTGTTCTCTCCCAGAAATTTCTAGAGAAACTAAATTCATAATGTTGGATTCTTTGCACATTTGCATTGACCCCATTAAGAAAGTCTTTGGATTAAAAAAATTAAAATAAATCCCACATAGGAATACTATATAGATACTAAGCATAAACAAAACAACTGTATACTTGTTCTTTCCAAAAGCTGACTCCCAAGAGATTTTGCTGGTTTATGGAAAATTTAGTACTTATATTCTATGTATATTGATAACCTATGGAAAAGATACATTTTGGTTTTGAAATCCCACTCAGCCTTTTTCATTGAGCAGATTTCATATTTGCAACAGCTGAAACATTCTGCTGAAAAGTAGTTTCTTAAGCTTTAATCTTATAAAGATTCTTTATTGAGATCAGGAAAATTGCTTAGAGTAGCATTTAATTCAAGCTCCTTATAACTATGGTGAAGCAGACAAATAATTGAAAAAGCAATGCAGAATTACTGCATAATATTTAATGTGAGACACTTTTACCAAAATAAGAGACATGAAGGCAAATTCTCAAATGTGATTGTTGAATAGACCAGGAACTATTCATAATCAGTAAATTCAGACAAAAAACCACATCTACCCTTGCACCTGGTACCAAATCAACCAATAGCACCAGGTCCTGTAATGAGAGGCAGTGACAGGCTTCCACAGAAAAGTGGCCAGTACTCCACCAGAGTTTATATAGTTAACAAGTCTGTCCTCTGTAAAGAAAGTCGTTTCACACACAACTACCAGTTTCTTTATTCTGAGTATTCAGCCTGGGAAAATCAAGGCATCTATTCTTTCTATGAATGACAAAGGGCAATCTTTTATGAGGCAGCTGAGAGAACTTTGCAGATATTTCTGTGCAGAACACTTATTGTAATGTTGCCCAGCAAAGGCTCCATGTAGATATCCTTTTCGTGTAAGCAGTATAGCGATGCTACTAAAACATGGTGTGAAGTCATTTCCTTGGACACATTTTCTCAACCAATATTGTCAAGGGCATTTATTTCTGCAAGACCTGTTGGCAAACTGTGACCTTGGGCATTTTACTGTGATAACATTCCTGCTTTGTTTTTATGCATCACATGAAGATATGGGATTTCTAACTCCATACACTATATAAGCACTAAGAAGGAAAAGTAACGAACAAACAAAAACAGAAAAAAAACAGATCTCTCAACAAGTATGGAGTTTTGGAAGTTTTTGTTAATAGTTCATGGACAAGGGTTCTAGATTCTGAGAGGGAAAGCATTCTTTTTCTAAATGATTAAAAGATGAAACTGAAAGAGAGTCTGAGTCTTTTGAATTTCAGTAAATACCCACATAGCATGCACGGCCTTGTCAAGGTGCTATCTTACGGCTTGATCAGCAGAGTGAGATTAAGATTCTACGGTTCATTCCCTCCCAGCGGTCTGACATTTGGAAAGAGTTTGGCTTGTACCGCAAAGAAATCAGTGAAGCTCCTTTCTTCTAGAAAAGATAAAGGATGGGGGCAGCCAACTATCACATCTACAAAAGTGGCCTCTGAAGACTAAATGAAGGAATTTTGTACATGGCACGATCCTTCTCTCTTTTTCAGACAACAAATCAATATATATCTTCTATAATGCTCAAAATATGCAGCTGGAAGCATCACTCACCACAACTGTTCCCCAGCTTCAAAGCCTTTCCTTAACAGTCTAACTGTGAATTAGAGAAAGAAATCTCCATTAACTACAGAATACCTCAAGTAGCAAGGGTGAGAGGGCTGTTCGTCAGCAAGTTATGCAATTTAAACTTGAAAGACAACAAAAAAAAAAGAGAGTTTATACTATATCGCAAACTGAATGCCTATTAGCCTTGCAGTTGGGGTATTCTATACATTATTCTAAAGTTAATGGAATTTCTGCACTCTAATTTATAACTAACCTTTTGTATTCCTGTATTTTGAAATCTATTTCCCCTATACTAATAAACAAACATTGGAGACAAAGGACACTTCAGGAGGAATCTATAACATGAAGGAGTGAATGTGCGTGTGTAAGAAGATGGATGCATGGATGCAGGTGAAAACCCAAATGACCTGCAGAAACAAAGAGGAACACATTGATATCAGCGGCAAGATTGACAATTTCCACTATTAAGGAAAAGAAATACGGAGAAACCCCATGAAACTGTAGTAAATTAAAAAAAACGGGAAGAAGCGAACGCCTAACTAGGAATATATTACAGCCCAAATCTGCTGGTGTTATGCGAGTGAAATTCCCAATGAAGTTACTAGGAGTCATATATAGGACAGATTACCGGATTGGGCCCTAAAATGGAAAGAGATGGCCACTTGTGGTTGTGATTACCTCTTATACATTTTACACATTTAAAATGGCTGCTCTCTGGGCCCAGGTTCCTAATAATTCCATAATTTTTGCATTTTCTTCCTTGAGAAAAAAATGTGAAAAATATGTTATTTCCTTAAAATCACAGCACCACAGCAAAAATACAGCTCTGATTAAGTCCCAATCTGTTGTGCACTTTACCGCACCAGATTCACGCACTGAGTAGATCCACGAGTGCAATCTCTCCTATCCCATGCTGTACTGCTGCTCCATACACCACGGAGCTTCCGCCACCAAGCATTCCTGCATATCACCCCAGTTATTTGGTTACTTGGGCTGTATACTGTGGTGAAGGTTCAGTCTGTCGTGATAGAAAAATAAGTCATTTCTGAGTTCCACGAGTCCTAAAACCACACATCTTCCACTGTTAATTGGTTTTTCATTATTTCTTGTAACTAAAAAGTTTGATTTAATTAGTAGTTAACATTTCTAAAAACTAAATTAAAAAAGCCGGTAGCTTCTGACACGGTCTCATAAGAACGTAAGAATGGCCATACTGTGTCCGACCAGAGGTCCATCCAGCCCAGTATCCTGTCTGCCAACAGTGGCCAATGCCAGGTGCCCCAGAGGGAGTGAACCTAACAGGTAATGATCAAGTGATCTCTCTCCTGCCATCCATCTCCATCCTCTGACAAACAGAGGCTAGGGACACCATTCCTTACCCATCCTGGCTAATAGCCATTAATGGACTTAACCTCCATGAATTTATCCAGTTCTCTTTTAAACCCTGTTATAGTCCTAGCCTTCACAACCTCCGCAGGCAAGGAGTTCCACAGGTTGACTGGGCACTGTGTGAAGAAGAACTTCCTTTTATTTGTTTTAAACCTGCTGCCCATTAATTTCATTTGGTGGCCCCTAGTTCTTATATTATGGGAACAAGTAAATAACTTTTCCGTATTCACTTTCTCCTCACCACTCATGATTTTATATACCTCTATCATATCCTCCCTTAGTCTCCTCTTTTCCAAGCTGAAAAGTCCTAGCCTCTTTAATCTCTCCTCATATGGGACCCAAACCCCTAATCATTTTAGTTACCCTCCTCTGTACCTTTTCTAATGCCAGTATATCTCTTTTGAGCTGAGGAGACCACATATGTACGCAGTATTCAAGATATGGGCGTACCGTCGATTTATATAAGGGCAATAAGATAGTCTCTGTCTTATTCTCTATTCCTTTTTTAATGATTCCTAACATCCTGGTTGCTTTTTTGACTGCTGCTGCACACTGCGTGGACATCTTCAGAGAACTATCCATGATGACTCCAAGATCTCTTTCCTGATTAGTTGTAGCTAAATTAGCCCCCATCATATTGTATGTATAGTTGGGGTTATTTTTTCCAATGTGCATTACTTTACATTTATCCACATTAAATTTCATTTGCCATTTTATTGCCCAATCACTTAGTTTTGTGAGATCTTTTTGAAGTTCTTCACAGTTTGCTTTGGTCTTAACTATCTTGAGCAGTTTAGTATCATCTGCAAACTTTGCCACCTCACTGTTTACCCCTTTCTCCAGATCATTTATGAATAAGTTGAATAGGATTGGTCCTAGGACTGATCCTTGGGGAACACCACTAGTTACCCCTCTCCATTCTGAAAATTTACCATTTATTCCTACCCTTTGTTCCGTCTTTTAACCAGTTCTCAATCCATGAAAGGGTCTTTCTTCCCTCTTATCCCGTGACAACTTAATTTAGAGTCTTTGGTGAGGGACCTTGTCAAAGGCTTTCTGGAAATCTAAGTACACTATGTCCACTGGATCCCCCTTGACCACATGTTTGTTGACCCCTTCAAAGAACTCTAATAGAGGCCCTCAGTGACAGTGTTGCAGCCGAGAAGAAACTGCCTAATTAGGATCTGGGGGTTAGCCCTGAACTTTGAACTTGAAATCTTTACAACCTTTAGCTTTCCCTTCCCTCCCTCAACACCTCCTAAGTTTGTTTATATCACATATATCACAATACATCAAGTTCACCACAGATCACATTAATATCATTAATGCACACAAACTATTAACTACTCAGGGTAAACGCCAATAAAAAACAACAAACCACATCTACAGGACACTGACCTGCTTTGCCCATTTCCCCTTTTCTCAAGGATCCTTCAGCCTGGCACCCAACTCTGTGACGAAGCCTGCTTAGCACCAGTGAAGCTCCCCACATTCAGACTGACAACGTTCTGAGCTGAGATGAGGGAATCGAAGTTAAAATCCAACCCATCTGCATCCATGAGTTCACTGCGGATAATGGACTCCATGTCACATTCCAAGCTTCCATTGAAAATATCCAGGTCCAAATCGCTTGGGAATTTATCATGCCCCATGACTGGAAGGTTCACACTAGTGGAATACAAAGAAGAGCCTGAGAGTGAGTCAGAAAGGGTTTGCATAGACTGATTGATGGGTGACTGCTGCTGGTGTTTGGCTGACCCTAAGTTGTTCGTATCATTTAAGCCCATGTTACTGATGGAATTTGACAAGGCACGACTGCCACCAAGAGAAGAATTCTGAGATTGATGCTGGTGGTGGAGCAGGTTCTGATTGACCAAACTTCCCTGGTTGGACTGAGCAGCAAATGACATCATTGGATCACTACGAAGCATGATACTCCTGCGTGAATTCTGGGCAGACACAGCAGTGCTGGCTTGAGACATGAGTGGATCAGACTGCGTCATCATGACATCACTGTGACTAAGTGACTCAGATGCCAGCAGATCCTGCAGCGTCTGGTTGTTATAATGAGAAATGGAAGAAAAGGTAGCTTGCTTGTTCTCTTGAATGGTCTGCATGGGAGACTGACGAAGGGAATTCAGAGATGATGGTCCAAACACAGCACTGTTGAAATTACTTGATGGAGAACCAAGTCCGGAACCTTTGGAACCATATGGAAAACTGGAGCTTCTTTGCATGAGCCCCCCTGATGGTGACTGCTGGGGAGAGGGGAGCGTTATATTGTCCAAAAGATCATCCATGATGAGGTTATCTGTCAGTCCATCATTCAAGTTCATTGTGCCTGCCATATCAGTCAACCTAGGCAACTCAACAGTACATGGTTTATTTACCGATGGGGACATGCTTGATGGACTATTGTACAGCATTGGAGAAAGTGGAGCATCATCATCCTGAACGTCATCTAGTTCGGTACTCGCCAATATCGGTGACAAACGGCCACTTATTGTACTGGCATTTGAATTTGTACGAGAGCGGAAATCTGTCCAAGCATCCATCTCATCACTGCTGCGAGAAGTTGGGCTCCCTGGCCACTTGGAAAGTTGAGACGGGCTGTCCTCGGTAGCTTCTTGTGCAGCTTGCAGGGCTGCCTTTTTCTTAGCTGCTCGGCCTCTGCTCTTTGTGTATTTGTTGCTATTGTCCATTGAAACAGCGCGTCTCCGTGGGGGCTTCCCACCTTTTCCACCATCTGGATTAATCATCCACCAAGAGCTTTTCCCAGTTCCTTCATTCTGTACCCTGATGAATCGACTGTGAAGTGACAAATTATGCCGGATTGAGTTCTGTGGGAAAGGAATACAACAAAAGTCAGGGCAAGTACCATTTCCTCTGCTAGTCTCATCTCAATCACGCAAGCCCAAAATTAAACGAAACTTTGAAATCCGATCAAAACACTGGGCTGCTCTGGACATTCTGCACTGCTCAGGCAGGGGTCAGATACTGGTTGTAAATCGTGAGCAGGGAGTTCTCCTTGTGCAGAATGCCATGCTGCCGTAAAGCAGAGCCAACTCCTGTGCCTGCTTCTCTGCCCTCACCCCTCCTCACCCTTGACATAGAGAGCACTTCCAGGGAGAAGGAATGTGGCAGAGCTCCACTCTGCTGTGCCCATCCTCCACTGGTGTAACCATCACCCGTGCTAGAGACTGCAGGACGAGGGAGCTGCAGCTGACACCCTGACAACCCACCCTTCCCCTGGGCTGTAGGTTGCTCATACTTCCAAATCATTCAACAGCAACAAACAAACAAACAAACAAACAAACAAAAAGCCGCATCAACAACTGCTAAGCCCCGGTAGAGCTGTACCGCTTCTATTTTTGACTGAATAAAATGTCCTGCATACAGATTAAATTATCAGTTACTATTGTTCCAACTCTCTCAAAATGAGAACTGCAAACACTTCAATAAAGGTGATTGAAAGGCTGTCTACTCTCATTGCAGCTTCTGTAAGTACCTTTGTATTCTGTAAGTACCTCCTCCTATAGAACTGCACACTGGAGGTGGGATGTACTTTTTCATTCCTTTGTTGAAATTTGAATTATATATTCAGGGTAGCTGGTCTGTTGCTCCCCGCACCCACAGCATCCTCGTAGTCTCCCAAAGTTGGAATGCCATTATGCACGATAAGATCATAAGCACAGCAGGCTGCTAGTAACAGAAATCTAGAGTACCCATAAAAGGTCCAATGAATCCCAAATCCTGCCAGGTGCCATCAGATACACTGGGTACAAGAAATGAAAAACAGTACTGTATTCTGCGTATGCATTCTCAAAAAAGTGGCGTGACTTCACACTATGGTGATTGAACCCAGTACAAAATCCCGAGAGAGACCCAGAAAACTAACTCCCAGTAACTCACGTAAAATGACACCAGACTTACACAAGTGTAACTGAGATCAAAATCTAACTCTAGATCCTCTGATTAAAATACAGCTAAAAAGACCATAAGAAATTTGCTAATAAGAATTTGTATGTTTTTTTATTTTATGCGCAAGTTAAAGAGTTTTGGAGCTATGCCATATTATTTTGGCAAACCAGTTGTACTAATGCTGTATGTTAAATTTGAACAAGTTTTAAGTCATAGATGTTTTTAAAATATTGGCAAACATCAGCTGTATCTTTGTGGAGGATACAAATACATGTGTTCCACCAGCATGTTTTAAAAAGAGAAAGTCAACAGTCTCTCATTGTAACCAAACAAGCCAGAATAAGTGTTTTCCATTTACAATGCACTGAAGGGATTCCAGTTTCAATTGGACAAAGAACACACACAACCAAACAATTATTCATAAACACATTAGCATTCATACTATTAACATAAAGGGATGTTTGACGTAAGTGAACTGAAGACACATTGGCTGTGTGAAGAAATGTAGCCCAGATTTTTTTTTTCCATTTTGTTGATGGTAAATACATTTTTTTCATGTTGTATTTTTGGTCAGTTTCAGGACTGACCTTCCCCGCCCCACCTCTCTCAAATTCTTCTCACACATGGACAGCAGAAACATTCTTGTTTACCACTCATGAAAAAGAAAAATTAAACTACAAAACAGGAGTTGTTCTTTTTAAACAATTTGCACAGCATAGCAAACAAGACTCCATAATGACACTAAAGTTATGTTTGTATCAGCACCTCAATTATACACTCTTATATTTCCAAGGGACTATAATACCTTGAAAAAATTATTTTGGGTTCATTCTCAGCATAAAAGTTCCTCAGTCTACCCAGGAGGGGATTTTTTTATTATTGAATTAGTGAGATTATAACTATATTTAGGGTCTGGCAGAAATATGTTTTAAATTATATTAACCAAATGCCACTACCCACTTTCCCACTCTCCCCCAACAGGGCTCTTAAATAAATCATTTGAGTTTTTAAAATGTAACTAACATTTCCTACCTGATGCTCCAATCCTGCAACTGGGTCCATGTGGATGGATTCTTATTCCCATGCCTTGCTGGCTTCAATGGGGCTCTGTGCAGGAAGTATTTATGTTTGTCCACATGGATCCAGTTGTAGGATCAGGCCTAACTAGGGTTGCCAACTTTCTAATCACACACAACCGAAAATTCTTGCCCCGCACCCACCCCTCCCCTTCGCCGAGGCCCTGCCACCTGCTCACTCCATCCCCTCCTCTCTGTCGCTTATTCTCCCCCACCCTCATTCACTCACTCATTTTCACTGGGCTGGGGCACGTGGTTGGGGTGTGGGAGGGGGTTAAGGCTCTGGTTGGGGGTGCGAGCTCTGGGGTGGGGCCAGAAATCAGAGATTCAGGGTGTGGGAGGGGCTCTGGGTTGGGGCCAGAGATGAGGGGTTTGGGGTGCAGGAGGGAGCTCCAGTCAGGGGCTGAGAGGTTCGGAATGTGGGAGGGGGCTCCAGGCTGAGGCAGAGGTTGAGGTGCGAGGGGGTGTGTGTGGTGTGTGGGCTCCTGGAGGGAGTTTGGGTACAGGATGGGCTCAGGGCTGGGGCAGAGGTGCGGGGGGGGGGTGCAGGGTGCAGGCTCGGGGAGGGAGTTTGGGTGTAGGAGGGGGTGCGGGGTGCAGGCTCTGAGGGAGTTTGGGTGCAGGGGGGCTCAGGGCTGGGGCAGAGGGTTGGGGTGCAGGGAGCAGGCTCCGCAGGTGGTGCTTACCTCGGGGAGCTCCCTGAAAGCGGCGACATCCCTCGGCTCCTAGGTGTAGGGGCCGTAGGTGGCTCTGTGCTGCCTCCACCCGCAGAGAACTGTGGCCAATGGGAGCTGCAGAGCCAGAGTGGGGGCAGCACATGGATCCCCCTGGCCATCCCTCCACTTAGGAGCCAGAGGGACATATTGTCTGCCAGCCTCACCAACCAGACTTTTAATGGCCCAGTCAGCAGTGTTGACCAGTGTCCCTTTTTGACTGGGCTTTCCGGTCGAAAACCAGACACTTGGCAACCCTAGGCCTAACTGCACACAAACAGTAAAAAAAAGTCACTCAGAACCACTATAACAAGAGCACAACAAAGCCTGGACACACAAGTAAACTGGCCAGTGATTATGCTAAAGAAAACAATCTTCTTACGGAAGGAAACCAGTAAAGAAAACAAGAGTTGGTATGTAAATGGCACTTTATGTAACTTAAGACACACAAACAAAAAGCCTGAAATATCAGTCGCCACCCATTTTCAATGCAAAAGCATTGCACTGATGTTTGCCAGCTCTAACCATATCACATAAATCCCTGACATACAAAATGCTGAGTGGCCTCAACTTGCATTGACTTCATGGAGTAGAGAGAACTTAGCAGCTTACAGGATCAGGTCCTACATGTGTGGGCGTGGGGAGGAGGAAGGAGATGTAATTTGCATTTTTATATGGATCATCATTTCTTTGAGACAGTGTTGGTATTACAGAAATAAAAAATAAAATAATTTTTCCACTGAAAATTGGTGGTTATGAGAAATCCAAGCAGTTTGTTTTCATTTAAGTTACACGAAGTGCTATTTACATACCAGCTCTGGTTTTCCTTTACTGGTTTCTGTAAGAAGATTGTTTTCTATAGCATAATTGCTGCCAATTTACTTTTGTGTCCCACCCCACTGCCACCCTGCTCCTCTCATGACTCTCTGCTTCCATAAACAAAGGGATCTCCCATTCCCCTTTCAAATACTTCCTTAAAACAAATTTATTTTGTGTAGCCTTTCCACATTACGCTCCTCACAATGTCGTGATACCTTCTGTCCCACGTATCACATCTATCCAAGCTGGACTGAATTCTGGCCTGATCCTGCTAGTCTTTCTCTTGTTAGCATTCCCACTAAAGTCAATGCGACTGATTATTCTCATGCGCAAAGGCGACAGAATCTGTCCATCAGCTTGTAAAGTGAGAGTGACCCTCTCTTTTACAGGATTTCTGAAGTGTCACGTGGACTTATATCACTGTCATAAAAAAATGTAAAAGATTCTGAAAAGAATATTCACTCACAAAAATCTGCATTCGAAATATATCATCCTTGTGACAAACCACAAAGGGACCTCCCCCAGGAAAATGCCAAGGATTCAATCCGACTCCCATTCAAATCAATTGGAGTTTTGCCTTTAATGCGAATGGGAGCAGGATTAGGCTATTAAGATGGAAATGTAATAAATCATTCCATGCCCAATGAGATGCTTTAAAGATACTACAATGGCACTCTCATGGCACTGTACTGGAGGATATATGCATGAGAAAGATGCTAATCATGTTGTTTAATGAATCAGTGGAATGGGGCTCAGATACCTCAGTGATGGGCGCAATATAAGGATCTGGATAAGAACAGAATAGAAAAAATATGGTGCATTCCTCCCTTTATTGTCTACGGGGCTCAAAGTGTACTATATGATTTATTAACAGATAGAATATGTGGTCCTTACAGTTTAAAATCAAATGTATACAGTACTTATGTGTATGTATAGGTGCCTAGCACAACAGGGCCCCGATCCCTCAATGGGGATCTAGGCACTTCTGCGCTACAAATAGTAAATAATAAAAATAATAGATTCAACACAAAAAGGAAGAACAAAAGGAAAGATGCCATGAGAGAAAGATGGTGGTAAGCCAATAAGAAAATGCTGAGGCTTTGTTTGGCTGCACACGTCTCAAAGTTACAGGCGACTCAATTATTTGAACACTGGTGTTAGTGATTATGGATTTTAGTGGGTGGGAAAGGCTGAGATGGGTACTGAGCAGAATTGGAGCTGGGACAGGTTGTGGTGTTCCTGATGAGATGCATGATAAGCAGGGGGAGTGAGGCTGGACAGCAAGGGGGCATGAGATCAGAGAGTCAGCAA